ATTCTATTAGTATCATAAAATTAGCTGACTAAAAAGAAGAAGAAAAATTCATTTTTTTCGGTATATACCATATATAATTAAATCAAGAACTTTTAATAACTTTTTTAAATGTATATCTATTATTCGATGATTAAACAAATGTTTTTTTTTTTTTTAATATTAAATAAAAATTTAACTTTAAATATTTTCAATATTATAATATATAATTAATATATTATTTATAATTATTACAAATGCATATCTTTTATTTTTATTTTATACTATATTAATTCTTTAGACATTTTTTTTTAATTTAAATTTATATTTTATATAATTAAATATGAGCATATTTATATAAATTTAAAAAATAATTTTTTTTTGCATTGATAATTTAAGAATAACTTAATAAATAAAAAAAATATATTAATAGCATATATTATATATATATATATAAATAAATAAATATTAATTAATAATATATATTATATATATTACTTTATATATCTTAATTAATTAAACAAAAATATAATACTTATTATTTATTAGTCTATAAAAAATATACTATTAAAAAAAAAAAAAAAACACAAGACCATAAAATAAAACAACAATATTATTAAAAAAACAAAGAATTCCACAAAAAAAAAAAAAAAAAATTAATTATTAATAATGAAAAGTGAATTTGATGATGAAGAATAAAAATAATCTCATAAAATTCCATTATAAATGAAGGAATCTTAATTAATTGTATATGAATAAATTAATAGTTATTAAAATATAATGATTAATCAATAAAACCCAGTATATTTGGATAATTTCAATAACGAATTAAACAACCAAAACAATATATAAGTAATTTAAAGCTAAAAATGTTTAGATTAAAAGGAAAATAATTTACAAGATTATTACTTAAATTAATATATAGAAAAAACATCAGAAACAGAAGACAAATAGCAAAATGAAAATGACAAAAATTAAGATAATATAAAAGAAATTAATATATAAAAATCTGAAAGTAAGTAAATAGAACAAAACGAATAACAATTCATGGTATAAATAAAAACAGAATTAGAGTAAAAAAAAGAGAAAAGAATATAAAAGTTTTGTCAGAATTTTTTCAATGATTAATTATAAAATCGTAGTGGAGTGCCAACTTTAACCCAAAAATAACGAAAGCACATGATATAATAAGAAATAATAGCAAGCCCATAACTAATTGACTTAAATGCGTAAAATAAATTCCAATTAGAAAAAAAACAAATTGAAAAAAAGAATTCATTAGATGCAAGTAATATAATATTAGGATAAGATTTACGAAAAGAACTATCTAATATAAAATAACATCAAAAATATAGACTTTTAATTGATAAATTTATAAAAAAGTTCAACAACGACCCATAGGAAGCTATAAACCTTATTATCGAGACAAAACTATGTGATGATAATCCTTAAGATATTGCCTATATGTTATTAACTACTGAAGGTTTAAACAAAGAGTAATTAGGGTAATTTTTTGGAAGAAATAAATAAAAAAACTAAGAAATTTTAGAAAATTTTTGTTCTCTTTTGGACTTTACAAAGCTTAAGTTTGATT